TGAAACCATTGCTCAGAGTCTTAGTTTGCAGGGCTGCAGGGAACCCTCTTCCTTATGACATTTCACATATTTATACATGGCTATCATGTCTCTTCTCAACCTTCTCTTCTGCTTAACATACCCAGTGTAGTTATATCAGAATATACACACTATGTGCCTTCACTCCAAGATGGTCTAGGTTAGTGATAGTGAACCTATGGCAAGAGTATCAGAGAGGGCACTCAGAGCCCTCTCTGAGGGCATGTGAGCTGTCACGCCAAGCACACTGCTATGGCCACCTCACTTCAGGGCTCTCCTTCCTCCCCCTCTTTCCCAGCCTTCCCTTCTGTATCGGCTGACTCCTCTCCTTCTCCTCAGCTGTGCCACCTCCCTCCTTCCCTTGCTTTCTTTTCCTTTTCTCCCCCACCTTGCCCTCAAGGTGGGGGTCAACCTTGGAGGGAGAAGCACGAGGAGGAAGAGGAGGAGGAGGAGGAGGCTGTGCTTCTGATGCCTTGCCAACTCCTGCTGGGATACTAGGAAAGGGATGCATGCGCCTCTCTCTGGGGGTATCTCTAGAGGAATGGGAACTGGGAGAAGGAAGGAAGGAAGGAAGGAAGGAAGGAAGGAAGGAAGGAAGGAAGGAAGGAAGGAAGGAAGGAAAATCCTCCCAGCGACACACCAGTAGGATTTTGGAAAGGCACAAGACAAAGGCTAAAGTCCTTGTAAAACTACAACTGCCAGAGCTGCTCCCTAGCCTTGAGTCATGGCAGTTCAAGAGGTGCCAGGCTGCATTCATCCTACCTCAGAGCTCCTTCTTTCATCCCTGTCATGAGGCTGCTTTCCTTTTAAGAGTCCTGCCAGAGAAGGAGACAGGAACTCCTCCACAGGAAGATCCAAGAAAGAAAGTAGTGAAAGTAGTGCCAAACTTTCATTCTACAATGCAGAAACACCTTCTTACTCCTGCTTTTCCCTTTGTAACAGCTCTTAGTTGAGGCTCCAGCCTTTGTAAAATAATAATAATAATAATAATAACAACAACAACAAGAACAATAATGGTGGCAGCAGCAGAATTAGTTGTTTCCTTTTCTAAATTAAAACCTCAGTATTCAGGTTAAATTGTCATATTGGCACTTTGTAATAAATAAGTGGGTTTTGGGTTGCAGTTTGGGCATTCGGTCTCTAAAGGTTTCACCATCACTGGTCTAGGTTTTGGATCTCTTCTCCAAATAAAATTACATAGGAATAGTACACAACAACCTTTATTTCTCCAATTAATGTAATATAGAAAATCACAGCAACACTAGCAGGGCCATAGCCAGAAAAAAAATTCGGGAGGGGTTGAAATTTTTGTGGGGGGGGGGTTTGAAATTTTCGCCGGAGGAGGGGGGGGTTGAAACCTGCCTCCTAGCTCACGCTGAAGCAAAGAGCACAGCAGGGGGCAGAACAGCCTTCAATAGCCTGCAGCTCCGCCCCTGTCAACCACCTCCACCAAGTCTGGCCTCCTTAATTTATTTATTTATTTATTTATTATTCAAACTTCTATGCCACCACTCCCCTGAGGCTGGGAGTGGCTTATAAGAACAGGCTAAAATCTAACACAATTTAAAAACAATTTAAAACAATTTAAAAACAGCAATATCAAAGATCAAAGGCCTGTCGAAACAGATATGTCTTACATGCCCTGGGAAAGCTGATGTCCCGCAAGGCACGGACTTCAGGTGGCAGAGTATTCCAGAGTGATGGTGCCACAGCTGTAAAGGCTCTGCGTCTGGTTGGTGTTAGACGCAAGGTCTTGACACTGGGGATTTCCAACAAATCTTGGTCCTCAGAACGGAGGAATCTCTGGGGTTGGTAGGAGTGAGGCGGTCCCTCAGGTATATTGGCCCCAGACCATGCAAGGCCTTAAAGATGAGTACCATCACCTTTAATGAGAGCATTCAACCCCTCCCCCCCCAACTTGGTTGCTTCACAACATCGGCTATTGCTGCAAGCAATGACAGTGTGAATAAATTGTCAATATTTGCTTGAGATAGTGCTTGCAGTTCTGGAGGGACTCTTAATTTTTTGCATCTCACTAGCATGGGGATTTGGTTAACCAGTTAAAATTCATTAGTAAACCAGGTTTTTTAAGAAAATCTGAAACATTTCGGGGGGGGGTTGAACCCCTAACCCCCCCCCCTCGCTACAGACCTGAACACTAGTGTACTAGGGTTTTAAAATATTTTTTTAAAACCTGCAAATCTATTTTCTGAAACTTGCTGATCTATTTTTTGAAATCTCTGTCATAAACCATAGAGCAAGTTTTATTTCTTTGTTTTTGAAGAGAAGTTTCTAAACATGCAAGCTTGTTTTGCAGCAGGTTCAGGATATTTTGTAAAAACATGCTGATAAAATACACTGCAAAATAAATTAGATTCTCTATATACACTTCTGCCTTCATGCTCAATTAGCACACTATCTGTTATAGCATTTATTTGTTTGTTTGTTTACCTTATTTATATACCGCCTTTCTCACCTCGAAGACAACTCAAGGTAGTTTACATTTGGCACAATTCAATGCCCCCCAAAATATAAATACAATTAAAAACATTAGCATATAAAATATAGATTTATAAAAAGTCAATAAAACATACATCCTCAGCATCTCCTTACTGAAATCACTATTCAATCGAATCATCGGTCATTCCGTGGTCTATTGATATTTACAGGTTGAGGCATGAGGAACTAACTATGTGGGGGGTTATGCTTTAAAGATGAACATGATATCTAAATAATGTGTTGTATTGAACATTTTTAGCTGTACATGTTGAAAGAGTAAGAAAGGTGTTACTGGCTTTTCCCAGTTGTTCACACTGATTTCTAATGTTTAGCATGAGTGTAATTCTTGAGAGTAAATGGAATGCTTAGCAAATACAAGCTTAGCAAATACTCTCAAGTATTACACTCATGCTGAACATTGGAAATCAGTGTGAACAACTGGGAAAAGTCAGTAACAACTTTCTTACTCTTTCAAAGGATGTATATAAATAATTTCAAATGATCCATAAGGAAGATTACTTAATGTCCATATCAATCAGCTATTATGAACATATTTAATGTAGGAGAAAAAAGCATTAAATGGACCATAGTTTGTCTAATTTGCATTTTGCTTCCACTTTTCTTCATTTTAATTCAGTGGGCATCAGTTTCCAGCAATTTCTTTAAATTTGGGACCACCATTTAAATCTTGACTGGCATGCTGAAATATTCCCTTACGTTCTTGTACAGGGGGTTGTGTTGGGCAAAGGAGACAATATTAAGCTTCTTCATTCAAATTTACTTGAACAGACAATTTGCACATTTTTCCAAAGGCATCATTCTAGAGATGTAGGGATTAGTTTTTGTTGCTGTAATTTTTCAGTATGTTGTTCCCTATGATCATCTCAAAGTTGCCAACCACTGGCATATATTATGCAATATAGGACTGGCTGGATGGATAAAACCAATAAAGGAATGATGTAAAATTGCAGCAGTGGAAGCAACACTGATAACACATATCACCAACTCATCATTAACTTGGAAATGAGAGTGTTAAATAGGTTACAATTTGTCTAATTTGAGGTCTGTTCCACAACAGTGGCTGAGAAACACATGGCAGATTTAGAATTACCGAGGAGACTGAACTGTGCTGACCTAAACTATCCAATTCAAATTTGGCCATATGTTGTAGGAGCTCAGGTGTGAATTGGAGAATGAACTAAATACTGCATGAGTGACCTGAACATACTCAATAATAGGACCAACAACCTGAGTCCTAAGAGCTCTGCTTACCTTTTTAACTTGTCACTTCAGACATCATAAATAAAGCTGTGGCCAAAAGAATTAGCTCAAAGGGTACTTATTTTTGTATTAACCCAAAGGAGAGAATACTTTTGCTTTTTCAGATAAAGTTAATAGTATCTGATCAAGTCTAGACTGTTAAGGAGGCTGTTATTGCCCAAAGTGTACCCTTCCCAAAAGTTCTTTGGTATTTTTGGTTCATCACAGTCACAAAGATATACTGTGGCCTCTCAGTAGCCATTGGGGTATGCCAGTGGGGTAACCCAGAGGATACCAATATCCATAGATGTCCATACATGGTGTAATGAAATGGCATCCCATATATAAATATAAACCCCATCTATTATTTTCAGATGCCAGGACCTATGGATTACCTAAACGCGCCTGCTCAAAAGTCTCCCTAAATCTTTTGTGATGCTGTTTATTAGGCCTGGGTAACAACGGAAAAATTTGTTTCTAAAATCGATTTGTATTTGGGGGTTTTTTTTGTTTCGATTTTTAAAATAATTACAAAATTTTCCTTTTAAAAAGTTCGATATTTACGAAATTTCGTAAATGGTAAAAAATTAACGAATCGATTTCCGAAACAATAACGAATCGATTCGTTAATGGCGGACGCGACCGCGAAATACGCTAAAAAACCTCCAAAACCTTCTGAAGCTTCCCTCTCCCTCTGTTGTTGACTGTTGGTGTGATATTATACATTTTTTTCACTAATTAAACCATAAAACTGGCCCAGACATGCGGAAATAATAACGAAACGACCTCAAAACAATAACGAAACGAATACAATATCGAAATACGAAGCATTTACAAAACGTTTTTGAAAATTCGTTTTTTTAAATAATTGCTCCAGAATGGTTCGTTATCGTTTTGTAATTGAAAAAATTAACGAATTATTAACGAATTACGAATTAACGAAACAAAACCGCCCAGCCCTACTGTTTATCTTTATAATGATCCACACCACAGTAAGAGAAATGCATCAAAGAAAAAATACAAATAAGCACTCTTTTATAGGATCTTGGTAATATTTATTTATTTAGATTATTTTTGCTTTTCCTTTCAAAGAGTGTTCAAAATGATGTAAAAACCAAAACAAGAATGTTAATGCTATCATCCACAAAATACTCTTGGAAAACACAATCGATGTAATGAAATCAATGCTTACTGAACAAAAAACCAACTGATTTGCAACTCACCAGATACTTGCATTGATGAAAACAGAAGAAAAGCTAGTTCCAAATTAGAAGAGCAACATTGGTGAAATGTTACTGCCAATCCCAGGAACTTAAACTTCACTTGCTGGCACTCAAGAAAATAGATGGCAATTACTTGCCACTGTGGAAACAAAGAAGAAAAATAAAGTCAGACTTCTGAAGAGTTCCACTGACTTCAATCATACATAGGAGAAAAGCCTAAGGAGAAAAACTGAAGAAAATATTTTCATAGAGAAATGCCATTCCCCCATACTGATTAGTACTCTTTCTTGGGGTTTTTTTTAAAAGGGTATAAGATTTGTAGGGAAATGCGGGAAAAATTTAATTCCTTCAGAACTGGCATCATTATAGGCACACTGTAGCAAATACAGTATATTCTGGCGTATAAGACTACTTTTTAACCCAAGAAAATCTTCTCAAAAGTTAGGGGTCGTCTTATATGCGGGTGTAGACTTATGCATGGGAGTCGTCTTAACTCTATATTTTAACTGGAAAAGTTGGGGGTCGTCTTATATGCCCAGTCGTCTTATATGCCGGAATATACGGTACTTTGAAAACAGAGCAGTCAAGCAAGACAATATCTTTACCAAAAAATATCTTTACTGTACACTGCTAGAAGCAAGGAATTCACAGCGCAGAGGATAGGAGAATTTTTCAAACTTTAAATGGGAGTGCTATCTTACACATTTTTACTCAGAAGTGAACCTGAATGAGAACACTGGGTTTTTTAGGAGAATGTCTGGAAGAACCATTAAGGACCTTGTCACACAGCTGGCATCAGTCGGGGGCGGTGCTCTTCTTCAGGGCGAGGCATGGAGCCGTCACCTCACCGGACGGCATGGCAATCACATGGAGGAAGCAAGGAGCATGTGTAGTGTGCATGGCTTCCCCAATAGAGCTGGTATGGATTTGGCAAAATGGGAAGCCTCCCATATTGCCAGCTCAATGGGAAAAGCCATGCACATTATCCACACTCCTCATTTCCCTCCATGTGATTGCTCTGCTGGCTGGCAAGATAAGGGCTCCATGCCTCGTCCTTAAGAGGAGTGCCGCCAAAGTCCTAAGTGTTGCATAGGCAAAACATGGCAATTTCTCCTTGGGAAATTAAATGTTCTGTGACTAAGAAAGAAGTAATGTGATTTGAATAGGACAAGAAAAGTAACTTTTCTTTGGCTAATGGAATTGAAATTGTTTTGTTTTTTGTCTCCAGTCCTCATATGACCAATAAGGCTTTTTCCTGCATTGAAATCTCTCAATATCTCATACAGAATGTAGGCCTGTGGAAACTTCTGCAATAAAAAGGGGGCTGTCCAGATAAAGTTCTGGGCCAAACACGAATCAAGGAACATGAAAGGCACTGCAGACTACTTCAACCAGAGAAGTCAGCTATAGCAAAGCACCTGATGAACCAACCAGCATATTATTTGAGAACACAGAAATGCAGGACCACTCTAACAACTACATGTCAGACAACACAGGGAAGCCACTGAAATCCATAAGCATGTGGACAATTTCAACAGAAAGGAGGAAACTGTGAAAATGAACAAAATCTGGCTACCAGGTTTTTTTTTTTTAAAAAAAAAAAGACTTCTAAAATCAGGACAGTAAAGAAGAACACAATAAAGAGGAACACTTGAAAAATGGGAATTTCTGACAGGAAATAATCAGGGCCAGCTAACACCTCTCAACAAAGAATCCCACCAGGGCAGGAAGCAGCCAGGTTTTGAAGCTGCAAGGTGATTTTTCATATCAAAAAGCATGGCATAAATAAGTATAAAACTGATAAAACAGAAGAAGCACAAGCAGCTAAATATTTTTTGATGAAAAACAGGCAACAGTGACCGCATCATATGTAGCTTTAAACAATTCTTCCTCTGTACATGAGGCAGGACACTGTGGACAAGCATACAGATTCTGAGTCGTTTGTTCTGCTCCTTAGTCACACAAGGCAGAGGATTCTTTTAGGTAGTCCCATTTTGCCATGATGTCTTTTGATCTGTCCACTCCACTTCTGAGTCTGTTCAGGGACTTCCAAGTTGCCCATTCTTGGTTTGCTCCTGGAGGCAGAACCTTGTGTGGGGCCATTCGAATGGGATTTCCTGGTTTAGCTGCCCAGAGGGATACTCTTGCTGTTCCTGGGGCAATGTTAAGAGGAGTGGTAGTTCTCATGAAGCTTTTCCTTGATTTGAGTCTACTGATAGCCATGTAGAGGATGGCTTTCACAGTGTTCAACCTTATTTCTCTCATGGTTAGCAGCAACTTCTCATCACACATCAGGGGAGCAATGCCAACTAGCTTGTAGAGTTTATCAACAGGTGTAGGTCTGAGACATCCTGTGATTATTCTGCATGTTTCGTTCAACGCTATGTTCACCTGCTTCATGTGGGCAGACTTGTGGCAAATAGGGCAGGCATACTTGGCAGTAGAGTAAGACAAGGCCAAGGCTGATGTTCTTAGTGATTTTGGATGTGTTCCCCATGCGCTGCCAGTAAGTTTCTGACTTCTGTTTCTTACATCAGAGTATGTGCTGTGTGTTTTGAGATCTCTCTCTGCTTGTGTGTCAGAGAGATGTAGTGCTTTCCCTCTCTTGAAACCTTAGAAGAGATGGGTGTTAGAGTTGTTCAGATTCCGTTCTTTATCATGAAGAAATGTAGTTATTCTTTATTATTGTAAATAAACTTTTGTAATTTTTAAGATTGGACTTTACATCTTTGCAAGGGCATTCAATGCAAATCAAGGTGGCCAATTGCAACATTCACACTTGCCTCAAGCAAACAAGAGTTCCTTCTCCCATCCTGAATATTCCACAGATATGTAAACCTCATTCAACGAGTTTCCAATAGACCTCACAACCTCTGAGGATGCCTGCCATAAATGTGGACAAAGTGGGAGAGAATGATTCTGGAACATGGCCATACAGCTTGGAAAACCCACAGCAACCCAGTATTTGAAATGTTTGGCTGAAGGCAAGTCTAATTAGGAGACAGAATTCTTATTTAGAAAAGGAAATGTCCCCATAGCTGTATATTTGATCTCATTGCAAATCCCGGGATACAAATGTATTGAAGTAAAAACATAAAATGATTTGTAAATTACCATGAACATGAAAATAAACTGAATACTCCAATGACCAATACACATTCGACATAAGTCTTTAGTTTAGGTTAGCTTGACCACGGTTGCCATGGATTCTATTAGATAAATTCAGAAAATATCTCCAATATTTAACTATACCAGTGGAGCTACTACAAATGAGAAACATTAGTGTAAAGATGCACTATGGCAAATCTTTTGAAAAGCATCATGCATCAACTTAATAGTGCCTTGTAGAATCAACTAAATCACAATAATCCTTATTGGTATATCTTTATCTCACAGCCTCTATATGCTTCCTCAGAACTAAAACTAATTGATTTGAGTGGGATGTATTCTGCAAAAAAACCAAAACAAAACAAACATGTATTGGACTCCAGTCTCAGGAGAGCTATACAATGATTCCCCCAAGTTTCAGAAGGAGAATAATAAAGGCTGAATCATTTATTACTAATTGAATAATCTCATTTAAATACCTTCAGGACACCAAGTACAATAAAAAAAAACAATGAAGCAGTATAGGTTTTAAACAGGGACAGCATTCAATTCCACCATATTTCATTTTCTCCACGAAGAAAGATAGAGTATAGCAAATAAAGTAAATTAATAATTTATTCTGCTGTTTCAAAAGGTAAGATTTCTCTTCCTTTGTAAACTAAGAAATGTTACTGCACCACACTCCACCACATGGAATATCAGCAGGGATTAAAAACATCATAGACCAAGGGTAGGAAACACACAGCCATTCAGATGTCTTGGGATTATAACTCCATTCATTCTCTTCAAAGACTATACTGGCTAGGAATGACTGGTGCTACAGTGCAAAGACATCTACAGGGTAATATATTCCTTATGCCCATCACAGACTCACACTATAGTTTGCAGACTTGGGACCAGGCTACTTAGCACTAGAACTGTTTTGACATATTTCATATAACCATAGAATAGCAGAGTTGTAAGAGACTGCATGGGTCATCTAGTCCCAACCCCCTGCCATGCAAGAAAAACACAATCAAAGTACTTCTGATAGATTTTCATACAGCCTCTGTTTAAAAACATCCAAGGAAGGTCCCTTTATGAAAATCTGAGGCAGAGAGTTCCACTGCTGCATAGCTCTTCCAGTCAGGAAGTTCTTCCTAATGTTCGGGTGGAATCTCATTTCCTGTAATTTGAACCCATTGCTATGAGTCCTAGTTTCCAGGGCAACAGAAAAACTAGCCTGTTTCCTCTTCCTTATGGCATCCTTTCACATATTTATACATAGCTATCATGTATCCTTTCAACCTTCTCTTCTGTAGGCTAAACATACAGAGCTCTTTAAGATGCTCCTCACAGGACATGGTCTCCAAACCTTTGATTATTTTGTTGCCCTCCTCTGGACATGTTCCAGTTTGTCAATGTGTTTTTTAAAATTGTGGTGTCCAGAATTAGACACAGTATTCCAGGTGAGGTCTAATCAAAGCCAAATATAGAGGGAACATGATTTCCCTCAATCTAGACTCCTTTTTATGAAGCCCAAAAATCCTATTGGCTTTTTAAGCTGCTGCATCACATTGTTGGCTCAAGTTTAACTTGTTGTCCATGATGACTCCAAGATCTTTTTCACATGGACTGTTGTTGAACCAAGCATTACTAGGGCTGGGCGGTTTCATTTCGTTAATTCGTAATTCATTAAAAAATTCGTTAATTTTTCAATTACAAAACGATAACGAACCAGTCTGGAGAAATTTTTTAAAAAAACAAATTTTTAAATCGTTATTGTATTCGTTTCGTTATCATTTTGAGGTCGTTTTGTTATTATTTCCGCATGTCTGGGGCAAGTTTTATAGTTGTTTTTGGTTTTCTAAGGGTTTTTATAGTTGTTTTTGGTTTAATTAAGCTTCAGAAGTTTCCCCTGTCCCATTTGGAGGTTTTTTAGTGTATTGCGCGGTCGCATCCGCCATTAACGATTCGATTCGTTATTGTTTCGGAAATCGATTCGTTATTGTTTTGTAATTTTTTCACATTTACGAAATTTCGTAAATATCG